CCCCAAACAACAGTTTCTGGGTCCGACATCCATCCCACTATCACCTTAGAGTCTCCTTCAACTATCAAATTAGTCACTCCAAGTTGGTTGGAAATCTGTAGTCCTTGTACCACAGCTAATATCTCAGCCCTTGTAGAGTCTCCATAACCCACTGGACCTGAGAATATGGACAGAATGTTGCCATCCTTATTCCTCAAGATCCCTCCTGTACCTGAAGGTCCTGGATTGCCTTGACTGCTCCCATCAAAGTTGAACTTTACAGAATGTTGCAAATCCAGAAACATGAAAAAGGATGGTAATATTCATGTCTCTATTAATCTCCTATTCTTAGTTTGGACTGGATCAGACCATATAGATTTAACCAGAAAAACCTGCAAAGAAAGAGATCAAGTATTCAAGGAGTTCAAGGAGGTCATGAATTACCCACATGTAACCAAATAGAGACATGAGAAACTCTCATACTCTAGAAACAAAAAAATAGGAGATTAATAGCTAGATGGTATTTCACAGCTTGTACCACAACAAAGAAAGCGCATACTAAGTGATAAGTTCTAGTTTGGTCTTCTCTTTTATAAGACCTTTTAGTAGTGTTGAGTTGGTCCGAGTTGTTTTTTATTTAGTTGGGAAGTTGTTGGGCTTTAGGCTCATTAGTTTATGTTTTTTCAAGTTGTGACTGTTCAGCTATATTAGTAGCCGCCCTACTAAGGGCATCCTTGTAATATCTCATCCTTTAAGTTAAGTATAAATATAATGAGAGGTAGGCGGCTAGGGTTAATTTTACAATCCTGGTTGACTTCCTACTCTTTTCTTCTTCTCCTTTCTTCTCTACTGCTGAAATCTTCATCTTCCCCCTCTTTCCTTTCACGAGAAACTCGACTAAATATGCAATTAGTGATTTCTACTAGTAGAATTAATCTTCATGTGATAAATCTCTCGATAGAAGGCCTAAATTTTCAGTATAAGTGAAGCAAGGTGGTAATTTTGGGCTGACAACCATGAGAACATGGATTTGAGTCTAAGAGTGGTTATTTTGCATCTAGTCTACCACTCCCTAGTGATTTAAGAGGCATGCCTTAGGCGCACAGGCGAGGCGCATTTTAAGGTATGTGCCTTGCTTAGCCCCCAGGTGCAACACTTTCAAAAGGTGTGCGCCTTTTGAAAATTTGTGCCTTTTTTAAATTTTTTTCTGTTTTTTATCCCTAGCTGCTGGAGCTGGACCGGCGGCTCCATCCCCAGACACCAAACGAAGCCCCTCAAGACAAGCCCAAACAAGTCCATATCAAAGCCTTAAATTCCTAATACCTATAAAAAAGATTTTATAACTTTAATTGTCTTTTAAAAATATCTTTTATTAAGGTGAATGAATGAGCAACATTAGCAAATATGGGGTCCTCTCCGCTCCAGAGCGAAAAATTTCCTAGTGTCATGTCCATTTTGGCAAATATCTTTTAAAATTTAAGTTCATATTTTTAATTAATATTATGTTTAATATCTTTTTTTTTCTTCTTTGAATTCTTTGGCTTTTGAAAATTTTAGCTTTTTGGCTTTTTTTAATTTTTTTTGCACCTCGTGCCTTGGGCACAAAATGCCCCTTGCGCTTTTTTTGTGCCTTGCACTTTTAAAACACTCCCATGACCCCAAATAGACTGGACCAGCATTGGGTAATAGCCTTTTACATGCATACATAAACACACAGATATATGTTCCCAGTGGATGACATAGATGGGGTTGCATCTTCAAATTTACATATAATGTTGATGTCTTCCATAATCTATGTCCTTATGTAAGAAAAAGAATCACCTTATATCTGCTTATAAAAAAAAGTCACCTTATATGTATGCAATGCCAAAAGGTTATTAGTGTAAATACTGATAAAGTGTCTAGTGAACATCATAGGAGGTGATCCTTTAGACCTGCAAGGAAGTTGCTTTTTATCCATGCTCACTGAATGCATGTTTTGGGCACTGGTTTATGATATTCCTGCTGGGTTACTTTTCAGGGTACCCTGTATTCTCAGGGAAGGTCAACAGGTACGCATATAACTTTCTTGACTGAAGGATCCGAAACTGTGACGTTTAGGTCGTATTTTGAAGGCTGGCCTCAAAAGGTGGAGCAAAATTTGTATGAAGAAGGCCGAGGGAAAGTAGCAGGTTTGGTTTCTCTTGCAACAAAAACATCACAAGTGAAGTAACTAAACAGTTATAACTCTTTGCACTTTCACTTTCTTTATGTACAGCAATATTTAAGAAGCAGGGTTATGATGTAAAGGAACTTCCTGAAGAAGATTGGCAACCATTTATAAATTGTCGTGGCATTCTGAAAGTAACTCTTTACTAAAGATATCAGTTTTAATTATATTAGCTTACATAATTTAATTTATTAACTTGATGCGTTTGTTCATTACCTTTTTAGGTTTGGCGGGTAAATGGAAATGAAGTTTCCATTGTTCCAGTTGTGGAACAACATAAGCTTTTCAGTGGAGACTGCTATATTGTGCAGTATACGTATCCTGGAAATGAAAAGGATGAGCATCTATTTTATGCATGGCTTGGTTGTAACAGTATGATGGTAATCTTTCTGCTTTATGTAAAATAATTAGTGTTTTTGATCAATTATATTTTTACCTGTTTATCTATATTCATATGAATATGCTTCTTCATTGTCCTAAATCTTACTCAAGCCAAGGAACAACTTTCAGCAAGGTTAAATTTGGTTGCGTAGCAAGTTGGAAGGCCCCTTGCCACATAAAACATGAGCATGATAACTTTGACATATGAATCTTAGTTTAGATGTGTGTGAAACTGTGTTGCCTCAAAGTCTAAGTGTATATTAAATCCATCATACGGATATTACTAATTAATTCTAGATAACATATACAATGCAATGCATATCTACCTAGTAAGTTGCAAAACAATCTCATCACTTTATCACTGATGTATGATATGGGTAAAAATAACAATGAAACTTAGACAGTTTGGATCAATTTAGGGCCAAATGGAGCCCAACCAAATAAACCCCGAGCCCCAAATCATGGTGCTAAATTTAAGTCCAATCACAACAATGGTTGAGTTTGGTTAGGTAGGGTTTGGATTGAAATATAATGTCATAAGTAAAGAAAGATACTTAAGTCTAGGAAAACTTGAACCTTGTATATTGTAAAGGCATTTGAAACTTGGCCCATTACACCATAAACTGAAGTTGCTAGGAGGACATGTACATAAAAGAGCATATTTACATATATAGTTGGATAACTTGGATTGGGTTTGATAAGACCTCAATCCCAGCACAACCCAAGCTTGGGTTGGATCAGGCTGGACTAGATTAGGACTAATTCAAGTAGCATTCCTTGATAATAACACCTAAAGAAGTGGTGGTACCCTTGGGAAAAGGAATTTTGAAGGTGAGCTTTACTTTGCATTAATTAAAATTTTCCAGCAAAGATGAAGCTTAAACCACATGCTACTTATTTATTGCTGATAATATTTGATACCATCTATGAGGACTGCACATAGTTATTGATCATTTAGTTTAGGATCTAGAGTTGCAATGTGGGTTGGGTTAGGTAGAGCATTTATTTAAATTTGAATGGGACCAAGCCTGAACCTAGCCTGGTGTAGTTGAACTGTTGAAAATCTCCAACATGGTCAACCCAACTAGCATCCCTATTAGGATCGATAGCTTAACTAATTTACACTTCTTTGTAACTTCCTTTTTCTGAATTTCAAAGTGTCAACAAGATGCTTTAATGCATAAGTTGAGATATTTTCTCTCCCCCCCCCCATAATGATAGAAATTGGTAATCTAGAGCTCATTTACTTTTGCTTACTAATGCTGATCTTGAGCCAACTCTTATGGTTATATATGTTGAAATCATGAGAACTTCATTCAAGTTTGATTTAACTCATACAAATATTTTCTTTTACTAATTTTGTTTCTTTTCAGGAAGACAGAGATGATGCAATCTATCATATGAACGCTATGGTTGATTCAACCAAGGGTAATTCTGTTCTGGTGTGTCTTCCCTGTCTTTCCATCCTGATTTGCAAAAGCTCTTGCAATTGTTTTTTCCTATGATGATTTTCTGTATTCGGTAGTCATACAAGGCAGTAACTGTCAAATAGAAAAAAAACTGTGACTTAGTTTCATGAATTTGTTCCATAGGTATTTATGAATTCACAAGTATAAAAAAAGGAATTTGTCACGTAGGTACTTCTATATATTTCTTGTTATCTTTTGTTAGAATGCTCGAGTCAGGGGTATTTTGGTCATTCTGGTGTATCTTATTGAAAGTGAAATGTCTATTGTATCTGAGTTTAAGT